TGCATGAGGAAGTAGAAGTGGACTGTCGCACAAATCCCAGAGGGCCTCTTAGAAGAAGTGGAAATCTCTGACTTTTTTTTTTTTTTTTTTTTTTTGGCAGAACCAGGGATTGAATTCAGGCGCTTGCGCTTGCCAGGGAAGCGCTTATTCCCCTGAGCCATCGCCCCAGCCCCTAGAAATCTCAAAAAAGAAAATTTTATAAATTTTAGTGTGACATGTAAAAAAATGACTTGAGTGTACTAAAGATCAACTATATTTTTGGATGGGAAAACATCCTGGAGGTCATTTCATCACACTAAGACCCTGCTTATACAGCTTTATGAGACATTTCTGGTAAATTAATACAAATACATTTATGAAGGAACTATTTTTCTAATAAAAATAAAACGACATCCATTTTTTAGAACTATATAAATTTGTCTAGTAATAGTCATATTAACATGCTACACTAATAAAAGGAAAAATTCGTATAGTTGCTTGAGATTAGAGGGTGTTTGGTGGCATTCAGTGTCCACACATGCTTTAGAAAAAGCAAGTATGCACAAATGAATAAGAGCATGCGTCCTTTACATGACAGTTTTTTAAACCAAGAGCCAGCATCACAGTTCAGCGTCATGGAAGTTCAGTAGCTTTTAACAACGAGGCGTGGAGATCATTCAGGGACATGAGCTCTGCCTGGCAAGTTTTGAGCTCGGTCCCCAGGACCCAGAGGGAGAAAGCGACGCCCTAAGGTGCAGCGCGGTATGCTTGCATTTGTCCTGCGGCTTGCAAACAGTGCCGTGAGATGGGAAGCAAGACAAGAAATGCAAGTGCATTTGGTTGGTTCCAAATTTGCACTTCCACCTCAGATAGCTTGACCTCACAGTGATGCAGAAGTTAAGTGCATTCAGTAGAAATCCTAGTTGGAATTTTGATTGACTTCTTCCTGGGCTAATGATGAGCAGTGTGACATCCCGGAGGTACTAGGCAGCAGTGGGAAGCCGTTGCTCTGAGACTTCACAGAAAAACGGGTAAGCAGCTGATACTGTAGCGTGCTGTTACTGAGCCATGACGCTCAGTAGTCTAGGTGTATTCTTGGTTTTTTTGTCTTTGCTTTCTTTTTCTAGTGCTGCAGGTTGAACCCTGGGCCTTATCTGTACCACTACTCCAGGGTGGGTGTATAAAATGAGGTTTTTTTATTTGTTTCTTTCTTTGGTACCGGGGCTCAAACTCACAACCTCACGCTTGCCAGGCAGGCCCTGCGCTACTGAGCTATATCCCCAGACCTAAATGAGTTTTCAAATTAGCATATTTGTAAATTAGAGTGGTGTCACCCTATTGTAAGTGGAAAGATATCTGTATTGAGAAGACATTATCTGAATATAATATATAAGAACATGCACATAAATTATTCAGTTTCTCACTCATTTAACTGAAGATACAAAAGAGAAGAGAGACCAGCCTTCGAGAGCAGTTGTGTCTTTCGCCAGTGTGTTCTCGTTACGCGGAGGGAAAAGGTTGGAGTAGAAAAGTCAGGTGTCGTCGTGCCTCTGCCTAGGCTCCGCGCCTCTGCCCAGGCTCCGCGCCTCTGCCCAGGCTCCGCGCCTCTGCCCAGGCTCCGCGCCTCTGCCCAGGCTCCGCGCCTCTGCCTAGGCTCCGCGCCTCTGCCTAGGCTGCACCTTCATCCCCAAAGAGTGCGTCAGCAGTCCATGTGGTCTGCCCAGGAATGCTGACGAACTTCCTTACAGCTCCTTCAAGAAGCTTAACTAAGATCAGAGTTGGGAGAGAAGCAGCCAGTGCCCAGCAGCCCCTTAACAGTGTATCTTCAGTTCTGTCGTGCCCCCCGAAAACTCATCTCCCCACAAATATTCAGGAAATTTTAAGTTTTGAAATTAGTAAAAGATCTCAGAAAAATGACCAGTCACAGGAATGTAAAATTCAGTGGTTTTCTTGAATACTAGCAATAAATATTTAGAAGGTATAATCAGGAAAAATTGCATGTACCCTGGCAAATTTCTAATCCTAGTCTTAAGAAATGTGGCTTAGTATGTGTAAAAATAAACTTTACTCTGAAATAAAAAAAGAATGGAAGAGACAGCGTAGTTCTGAAAGGTACTTTGCATAAAAGAAGAAGTTGTTTCCCCCGAAACTAGCTTTTCCCTTTTCATTAGATATGTGGTGGTGCGTAAATCCGTGCCTTGTGGGTAGCTGATGCGTGCACGTGGCATCCTGATCTTTTGCTTCCTTGCCCCGCTGCCCAGGTCCCCTTCCTGTCTTCGGCTCCTGTCACCTATATTTTATTTTCCTCTTTTTTGTATTTTAAAGAGAAAAGAACTACAACAACGTCAAAACAAGACAGTAGGAGGGGAGCAGGGGTTCATGCGCTGCGTGTGCTTAGCTCTGAGTCAGTTGCCCAGAGCGCAGCGTCCGCCAGAGCAAGCACAGAGCTTTCTTTGCCTTTAGTGGGCCAAGCGGAGTAAGGAGCGTGACGATCGTAATTGTCGTAGGTGTATCTGCTTTTTGCTGTTCCTTTCCATCTTTTCTCCATTCCTCCATCCCAGTTTCACTTTCCTTTTGAAGTTTCTTCCCATTTTATAGTATCTGTTGGATCTTATTTAGTCTTTCAGCTTCTCACAGTAGGGAGACAACACAGGGTCTACACATGGGCAGCTGGTTTATTTGGCTTATGAGCATAGTCTGGAGTTGCATCTATTTACCTATAAAAGTTTCTAGTTTAACCTTCTTTATGGCTGAATAGTACTCCATTGTGTAAAAAGACTCCATTTTTATCCATGCTTTGGTTGATGGTCATTTGGGTTGTTTCCAAGATTTAGCTATTACAAATTGTGCTACTGTAAACATGAGTGCACATATATCACTATGTTATGATGTTTTTAATTCTACTAGAAAGATGACTAGAAGGGGACTATGTGGGTGAGATGGGACCTCCAGTACTAGCTTTTTGAAGAAGAACCTCCACACTTGATTCCCATTGTGGAGAAGATTCCTTTATCCCCCCACCCCATCCAACATTTGTTATTGATTGATTTCTTGATAGTAGCCATTCTTCCTAGGGTGAGGTAGAATCTTAGTGTTGTTTTAATTTGCATCTCTCAAATAACTATGATATTAAACATTTTTTCATGTATTTATTTGCTGTTTGTATTTCTTCATCCAGGAGATGTGTATTCATCCCCAATGCCCAGTTTTTGGATTGTATCTTTAAATTTGGGAGGTCTGAGGTTTTTTGGCTTGTTTGTTTGTTTTTATTTCTTTGTATACTAAAGTATATTAAGTAAGACAAAGGAGTAGTCCTTTGTCTGAGGAAAAACTGGCAAACATTTCTTCCCACGCTGTAGGTCATCTGTTTACTCGTGGTGGTTTCTCTTGCTATGCAAAAGGTTTTAAAAAAGATGAAATCCCGGTTGTTGATTTTTTGTGATAGTTCCTGTGGGATCAAGGTTTCCTTCATGAAGTCTGCCTGTACCAATGTCTTCACAGGTTTAATACTTAGCCTTCAACAGGTTTAATGTTTCTGCTTTACGGTTTAGCTTTTTGATCCACTTCAAAATTTAGTTTAGCGCCTGGTTAAAAATATGGGTCCGATATTTTCGGCATGTGCAGAGCCAGTTTTTCTAGCACCATTTATGAAAGAGACTATGGTTCTTCCATGAGTGCGTTTGGACCCATATCTGCGAGTCATTCCGCAGCCCTGCTCCGTGCCAGTGCTCTTAATGTCCGCCTGTTTTGTCAGCACCATGCTGTTTTTATCGCTGGAGCTGTATCACTGTAGCTTGGAGAGTATAAATTCAAGTCAGGGATTATAGTGACCCTTGCCTTACCTTGCTGCCTAGTTTTTGGAATTTTTATTGGAGTTGCATTAAGTTTGTATAACAGTTTTGGAAGTATGGCCACTTTTACTATATTGGTTCTTCCTACCTGAGAGCCAGGGATATCCTTCCATGTTCTTTCTTTTTTTTTTTTTTTTTTTTTTTTGCGGAACCGGGGATGGAACTCAGGCCCTTGCACTTGCCAGGGAAGCGCTTATTCCACCGAGCCACTTCTCCGGCCCCTGTCTTTCCATTTTCTGACATCCACTTCAGTCTTCTTTTTCTGAGTACTATAGTTTTTATCGTACAGGTTTCTTACATCCCTTGTCAGGTTGATTTCTAGGTATTTCATTTTTTGGATGCTATTGTGAAAGGTGTTACTTCCCTAATTTCTCTCAGTGAGTTTGTTATTCCTGTACAGTAATGGTATTGAGTTTTGAAGTGTTGACTTTGTATCCTGATATGCTACTGTATTTGTTTATTAATTATAGCAGTTTTTAGTGGAGTTTTTTGGATCTTCTAGAGTATCATGTCATCTGCAAATAAGGATAATCCTATCCTTATTCCTTTTCTCTCTCGCTGGCTGATGTTTCCAGAATTACACTAAATAGGAGTGGCAGTTTTGTTCCTGATGAAAGTCTTCGGTTTTTTCCGTTGAGTATGATGTTAGCCATTGGTTTCTCATAGATAGCTTTTATCAGATTGAAGTAAAGATCATATATTCTGATCTTCCATAGGGTTTTTATCATGAATGAACATTGGATTTTGTCAGAAGCCTTTTCTGCAGATGATTATGTGATTTTTGTCTTTGGATCTGTGGCTGTGGTGTATTACCTGTATCGATTTGCATACATTGAGCCCTCCCTGAATGCTTGGTTGACTCCCACTTGGTCACGCTGTGCAGGCTCCTTGATGATTGTGACACTTCTTACAACATCTCTTAATGCTCCCCTAACTGCTATTCCTTGGTAAGTTGAAGATGTGCAAATTTGAAATAATAACTAGAAGCCAGAAAATTCAGAAAATAAAGATCTACTCAGTGACCACACAGTTTACCAGGACACCTGTAGGATGATTAAGTTATTTCTGCTATTAACAGTATGAATTTTTTCAAATTGGAAAAGCAGCTTATTTTATCCAGTGAATTGTTTTGTCTTCCAGCTCCTAAAGTTTATTCTAAATTACTTTCAGATTCCTTTGATGACCCCTACACTCACTTTAAGAGAGTGGTAAAGGCATTTCTAATCAACGCTTTAGACAGCTCTTTTCTGGGAACATTGTATGGTAAGTCAATACTGTGTTATAACCATTTTTTTTATTCCAAATTTTAAGCAGTGCACAAAACCATGGAGAACTATCCTTAAAACATACTAGTTGTTCCTTCAAGGATAAGACAGGAAAAATATGTCCATAGCAACACCATCCTAGTATCTCTTGGGTTGTAGAAGGTAAGTGTGTGATAAGGCGTTGCCCCAGCATACATTCAGAAACCAACAGAGCTTCTGATGTCCTCTGAATTGCACCAAAAGTTGCAGCTATTTTTATGTTTGGAGGCTTTCCTTTATTCTTAGACTATGCTTTCTTTTCACTTCAGATTTTCCAGGTGAGATTTAGAACATTTCCTCTGTGAAAGCTGTGCTTTCCATCATGCGCCCCCCTGATGAGGAGCACTTAGGCAGCACATTTTTTGGTATTGTATTGAAAGTGCATTTGCTTTTCCTGTCCTATTAGAGTATGGGAAGAATTATGGATGGATGTGCTCCTTGCCTCCAGCACAGACCCGGGATCCAGTGGGCTGTACGTGTGTCTTGTTGAATACCTACTGAAGTGCGAACGTTGGATTTTGTTCATCGTGTATGAGACACGTAGTTTCTGAGTACCTACGGTTGGTCCAGGCGTTACTTTAGGCCTGCTAAAGTGACAAGGCCAGAAGATGAGATTCCTGCCTTCGTGTTCAAAGTCTGGTGCGAGAGACAGACAATGAATGAGTGAACGAACAGTGGACTGTAATACAATCTGAGCTAGGTGTTGGAAAAGCTGTAGTGCCCAGAGGAAAGGCAAAGCGTATGCTGTGTGTGGGTTAGACTGGTCGGAGAGTGTCTTCCAAGAGGTAGCTTTTAATAGAAGCATACACACGAGAAGGAAGAGCTAGTATGGGAACTAGCAGTGGAACAGAAAAGTGGAGTTAGTGTATTCAGGAGCCATCAGGAGGGCTTGCAGCTGGAGCAGGGTGAGTTGAGGAAGTGGGAGAAGAGGTGAATTCTGCGTCAGCCATAACAACAGCGCTTGAGTCCTAAGTGATTTAAAGAAACATAAATTAATCAGGTTGGATTCGTTAAGAAAACTTCAAACAGGACAAGAAATCAAAGCTTAACTTCACAGGCTGTGGCAAATATATATGAATAGAGAATAGAGTATGAGCCAAGTCAGGAATGCAAGTTGCAAAGCGTTCTCTGTAGACGAATAAGGAAAAGAGCTCACTTGACAGAAGCTTGTGATTTGTTGGTGTGAGGAGGAGTTACCACTGGATTAGAAGAACTGAGCCCGTTGTACAAGGCCTTGGAAGCCTAGTCAGCTTTGAAGTTTATCTAGAATGCAGTGGCTACTCTGTGTCAGTTTTGCATAAGAGAATGAAACTGATAACTTGACAAGGTTTTTCTTCTAGCAAAAATAATGTTAAAGTTTGATACTTAAAAAGGGAACAGTAGTGTCTTATGCTGACTTTCCCCTTGTACTCCGATGAAATAGTATTTTACTTCATTAATTTGTCTCTAAAGTATTTCTAACCAGCCGTCTTCATAAAACTATGGGAAGATATCCTTAAATGTGCAGTGTTTTCAGTGCTTTACGTGGACAAAGTGATTATTGGTATTTTTGTGTTGGTCGTCTGAACAGATGGCACCAGGCACAAGTCATATGCGCAAGACATGTTGGCCTCTCTTCATTATTTGGATGACCGCTGTGTCCAGCCGCGACTGGACGGTTTGTTTTCTAGGAGTCGCTGGAAGGAACAGTATAAGGTATGCAGGTTATTGGGAGCTGAGGCCATGGACCTCTCTGGATATCCACAGCCAGCCCATCAGGATAATCCTCCAGAGTATTAACATCTCTCCATATTACTAATTAACGTATTATTCCTTACCTTTTTCTAAAGACTATGGTGCTGATAATCTACACTAAACTATTTAGTACTTAAGTGGCTCTGAATAATAAATAACTAAAGAACATTTCAAGGGCTTAGGCCATCTTTTAAAAAGAGCATATGTCTCTCAGGAAGTTGTTATTTCAGAAAAAAGAATTACATAGAGCAAGCAGTTTGAGGAACAGTGGACTCAGCGTACAAGGGAGTCTTGCTACAGGACTTTCAGGCATGTTGCTTTGTGAATGTACGTATACCGTAATCTCCAAGATGGCGAAATAGCCTACAGTACTTCACAAGCTTTCGCTTTACTTCCAGGCTGCTTTTCATGAAGTGATTGTCACTCTTTCTTGGCTATTTGATTTCCATGAAGTAGTTGTGGAAACATTGACCATAGGACTTGATTCTTCACTGCCTTGAAGTCCGTGCTTCAGTGTGGGCCTGCCGAGCGCAAGTCCTGCCTGAGGCCCCTGGTACATAAAAGAGAAAAAGATTCTGTAATTTTATCAAGTTTGGAATTTGCCCTTTTAATATAGAAGACTTCTTAGATTTTATGCTTTTCTCTGGAATTCTATTTTATGATCTGTAATACAGGATGTACTCTGTATGCTTTTTAAGGGCTTTTCATCTGTTGCTAACCTTCTTAAAAGGAAAATCAGTTTGCATTACCTTAAGTCCCTTTAGTGTTTAAATCATTAGCCGTTTTATCTCCTTTTGTCCAAGAATTTGGTTTAAGCCAAAGCCTATGCTCCTTGAATTACCTGATGATCGTTTAGGGGTGAATCCAGTTACAAGATTACAGAGTTAGAGGATTTTAAGTTGGAGGGTGGCTTAAGTTTAGGGGTGGTATATATATTTTTTGCTTTTGGATAAGTTTGCAACCTCTCCGAACTCTAGTGTCTTTTTCAGATATAGACAGTATAAATATATATATCTTTAAAGGGAGAAATATATGTATATATATACACATTTTTTTGTTTTAGGGAAGGGTCTACAGGGTGTTCAGGGTCTCACTACTAGGTCAGACTCAATGATCCGCCTGTTTACGGCCTCCCAAGAGCTGGGATTACAGGCGAGCGCCACCACGCCCAGTCTCAAGTGCATCTCCGCGTGCCCCGGGGCAGGGCTGGCTGGGAAGGCCCAGGGCTGAGCCCAGCCCTGCACCTGCTTGCAGGCCATAAATCCACTGAGCTATTTGGCCAGTCCTTGTTGTGATTCGGTTCTAATTTGATTTGATTCTTATTTTATTTTTATTTTAAGCTTCTTAAAATTTTTAACTTGTTTTCAGGAGCGGGTAGAAAACTATTCTAATGTAAGTATCCATTCGAAGTGTGCTGAAAACTGCTACTGCCAGGCTTGTGGACTGCATCGCTACTGCACATTTTCAGTGCACTTGTCAGGAAAGTCATACAACACCAGAACTTTGGAAATGGATGAGTTCATGTCACATGATGAACAGGTATGTTTTTCCTCTAATTTTAGTTTTAAATCTTTAGAAATTTTCGGTTTATAAGCTTTTACAAATAACCTTAAGTTTTTACAAATAGAAAAAACTCTAGGAAGGGAAATAAAGTACAATTTCAGGAGGAGAGAAGTCTGCTTGCGTGACACTCATTTCTAGTTCAGTGGTGACGCCGCTGCCTCCCCATAGACAGCTGAAGGCGCCGGCGTCTCGTCACCCCTGTCGTGGGGAGAAGGCAGGGTAGGAATGCTGAGAAAGAGCTCTGGGGCAGGAGACAGGAGGCTTGCCCTGGCCCCGCGGAGCGCTGCCGTGTGGACCGCTGTGTGGCACATAATCTGCACACGGTCGGGGATGCCTGTCTGTTCCACCCCCAGCAATGCAGGAGCACCATATCCGACTCAGACGCGTCGGAAGCGGGCTTGCGGAGCCTGAAGCTGGAAGAGCCACCTCGTGCTTAAAATTGAGGTGCTAGAGCGGATGCACACAGCGGTACGATGCGAACTGATGCGGAGCTTAGCTGCCGACTGCTTGTCCAGTCTCTATAAGGAAACTGCCTTGCTGTGGTAATGCAGTCGTGCACAAGAGCATTGCTGTTGAGTATTTCCTGCAATGTGTGCCCGAACAGTGCCAAGAGTGGATCAGACCCCCAGATACCTGCAGAGGGCTATGGGGGAGAAGACAAAAGACCCTGTTCAGGGTACAGGGGCACTGGGAGGAGTCCGCTTCCAGAGAACAGGCCAGACAGCCCCCACAGCCCGCGCTTCCGTTAACAGCCAGGAGCTTGGGGGAGTCATGCAGCAGTCCTGATCCGTTGACAGGGACTTTGAAAGTGAAGTGGCAGGTGTGGCTTCCTGTGTGGCCTGCAGGCCTGAGGGGCAGGAAAATAAGAAAGCCACACATGCCCCGGAGAAAGCTGGAACCGAGGGGACCTGACACCTAGCACGTCTGCCTTTGAAGCACACACAGTGAAAAGGGGGAAGTGAGCAAAGGGGTCAGAAGCCCAAGGTCTCTGTGTTTTGCTGAGAACCCTGAAGCCAGAACATTCTGGAAGCTCTCTGTGGTAATTGACAGGGATGAACACCGAGGCCGGACGCCAGCCCTGACAACTTGTCCACGTGCCCCACCTCTGGAGCTCCATGCTCTCGGGGCTGGCCACGCTCCAGCCCAGCCGCTCCCCACAGGTGGAAAGGGGAAGAAGCCCTTCTCCATACTGGGTGACTGCACAGGCCAGTAGTGAGGGAGCAGTCTTTCTGTTGTCCCCATGGATGTCACCTTGCCCTGAGCATACAGCCAGAGAGACAGAGAGCCTTCCGCACGCTTCTCATTCCCTGGGAAAGTCACACAGGCCTCAGGACGGGGGCCTTAGTTGGCACCGTGGCCCCCACCTACCCTTCCATGGTCCCCGATGGCCCACGAAGCCTGTGCACGTGCAGACACCGAGACAGTCGTCCGCAGTCTCTCCTCTTGCTATGGTGGAAACACTTTATTGCAGCTCTACTCTGGGGTAGCACGATCCCCAGCCCTGCTGGATGCGGATGTACCACATCCTTTACAGTAAGGATTGCGAGAATCACTTGGAAGAGTTGTATTTGTATAATGAATTCAGAACTGCACTTTAATGTTTTGTTTCCCATGTTACCATAAAAAATGTTTTTCTCAATAATTTCTGCGTTATTTATAAAAATTGATCTGTGGCTTCTTATGGGATAAGACCCCCTAGACCCCTAGCAAGTGACCTAATGCTTAGAAGACCATGTACAGTGACAGAGATCCAATATATTGCTTTATATTTGCGGTCTTTGCTATTTAATACTCATGCAGGAGAGGTAAGTGAGGTCCGAAAACCGTTGCTGGAGCTCTGGCATTCCTGTCAAGGGAGATGGTTCTGTAGAGGCCAGGCATACTGGCCCCCACTTTAACTTCCAGTCCTCAGGAAGGCTAAGGCAGGTGAGCATAACGCCAGTCCCACCTGGGCAAGCTAGCGAGACCCTTCCTCAAAAGGGTGGGAGAAGAGGCACTGGGAACGTAGTACAGTGTAAGAGGCCCTGGCTTCACTCCTCTGTGCTACAAAAAATTACGTGCTTAACTCAAATATCTAGAAAAATAAGAGATCACATAAAGTGTATCAGGATAGCCACACAGTGGGAAAACACTAAAGTTAAATATATGGAAAAAATGCATATAGATAAAATTACCTTCAGATGACGGTGGATAACTCTTAAAATAGTAACATACTTTTAAATCAGCTTCACGGTGTGGTGCCGTCAAGTGGCCTTCCAGCGTGCGTCCCTGCTTTTTCTAATGGTTCCCGTAGTCACTCCTCTCGCAGCGGTGGTCCACCTCTAGCTACCTCCAGGACCAGGAGGAAAGCACGACTGATTTGTTTTGAGAATGAAGTTGCTGCTGCCCTAGTTCCATGTGGCCACACCCTCTTCTGCATGGAAGGTGCCAACAAGATCTGTGGAGAATGCCGTCACATCCAGTTTGCCAGACAGCTGTCACTCAGGCAGTCCAAATTCACTCTTAATTATATATGCACGCGCACACACACGCTCACGCACGCTCATAAAGGCATGGGCATAATGGTGCCCCCAGTAAACTTCCTAATGAGTTCTTAAGACTGTTATCAGGCTTTACTGGGATTAGGCTCAAGTTGGTAGTAAACTCTTAAAAGGCTGCTATGGTAACACTAAACCTAAGTGGTCTCTTGTCAGTTTGGTTTGAATTATTAATACTCTCCTGTAGACCCAGAGACACAGCCTGTGTAAGAATTGCGAAAGCTAAAGTTGAACTGGGCTGAGTGAAGGTCATTGTGTGGTCTATGAGGAGTGTGTAGTCCGAGGTTGCACGTAGTGGGTCCCAAAGCCTAGCCACACGAAGACTATGGTGGGCACTTGGCCTCAAGGTGACCCAGGCACGTCCTGTGCTGCCTTCTTTACACAGCCAGTTTGTTCTGTTTTGGCTTTTTTGCGGAACCGGGGATTGAATTCAGGCCCTTTGCTTGCCAGGGAAACGCTTATTCCACTGAGCCATCTCCCCGGCCCCACACAGCCAGTTTTGACAAGACAGGTTGGTTTGGTTTTTATTTTACAACTTATACCTAATTCTGCAGGATCACAAGTAACCTTTTTAAATTAATTGTGATTACTTACTGGTAATTATAGGGCTGGTGGCAGTACACTAGATCATTGGTTATAATTTGGGACAAAAACTGCTGCACTGACCTTCATCTCGCCCAGTGTGTCCAGGGCTGGTATAATCAGAGGGTTGGGACTGCAGTTGTCTCAGCTGTGACATCGTTGTCCCCATGACCTCCTGCCACAAATGTGGAAATAGTCGCCTGAAGGACCTTGGGTGGACCTATGTTGGCTGATAATTGAGGATGCAAACGTTGCTTTCATTAGTCTGATCAAGCTATTAATTTTTAGACTATAGAACAAAATGTGAAACATTTTATGTTCAATCCATATTTGCCTTGCACGTTATAAATATTTTTTATTTTTTAGAAATATAGGGGAAGGGAGGGATAATAATGCCCTTGTAATAGTTGATGAAAACAGCTGTGACCTCCAATCACTTCACTTCATTTCAAAGCTGTTTCCAATCGAAAGGAAAAAATTCTTTAAAATATCCTTGTACATTTCACCTGAGGATGTCTATAATTTCATCCTCAGAATGTTCCCAAATCTGTGTTGTCATTGAAAAAATAAAGCATTTTTTAAGAATAATTTTATTGAGAAACAAATAGCAATGAGATAGTTTCAAAACCTACTAGTAGGACATTTTCAGTAATTAATACATTGCATATTGTTGTCTTACTGGTTATTCATTGTACAAGATGCAGACATGATATCCTGTCCACAAACACTGTCAGTACAAATCTTTCTATTCATTGAATTAAGAGAAAGTAGCTGTGTATCTATCCTAATTATTTTGTATATACAGATACAAAATGGTCCTTCATTTGTATCCCCTTTGTTTAGTTTTGTCAGAGGTGGGTATTCCATTGGCATTTAAGTATTGGAGGTGCGTGAATTCAGCAAAATATTCCAACACAGTTCAGTAGGAAAGGACAAAACATTATACTGGTGGGTTTTTCTACTAACTATTTTTTTAAGCATTATTTTCCCAACACAAAAGAGGTTTTTTCTCAGTATAATGAAAATTGAAAATCCTGTGTGTATTCAGTAGTAAATAGGCAAATTTTATTTTTTATTTCCACTTGAAGAGTTACATTTTGTATAAAAGTTTACAAATAACAGTTTTTATTTTGATTTTTTCACTATAAAAAACTTACCTTGATGACAGATAGTGCGGTTAAGCTCAACAGCCTAGGTTGTATGGTAATAACAATAAGCTTGTCTTCTGGACGGTTAACACCTAAGTTTGCAGACCAAAATTAGAGAAAAAGGAGGGCCGCAAGGACAGCCAACATTTTGGCCCTAGCCTTCCAAGGTCAATTAAGACTCAGTCATATGAGAACTTGTACTGTGACGTCATGTAACTCAGTAATGTCCCAAATTTTCTGATCAAGAGGATTATGGGGCCAAAGAGGAAAGTGATCGATGATGTAGAGTGTGCCTAAGGAGAGTCACATGGAGAGAAGACATTCTCTCAGGCTTACACAGAGAGCAAATAAACCAAGCAATGGCCGTGACTCATCCACATGGCTGACACTGACAAAGGTTCTACAATATGAGGTACAGGATCTCAGGATAAATCCTGAGGGGATTTCACTGACCTTATCAGACCCCAAAGCTACAATTCTTGTTACATAGGTCTTGCTTAATCTTGGTCTTAACCATCCAGCAGAAAAGTATAGAAACGAAGTATAAGAAGTAAAGCCATGTTGTTATGTTGAGCTGTAAGAGATTGAGGTCAACAACTTCTGACATTGCCAGTCAAGTGGAAGACCCAATACTATTATGGACTACTGGAGAATTTTGGAATATTTGGCTGAGTTCACACACCTATAATATTTAAATGAGAGAACTAAA